TATTTAGACATTTTTGGCAGAAGAATAAATTGAATCGGGTCGATAGAACGTTAATTATTTGAAAAAATAGAATACGGCCCTTTTGGCATATGCTAAACGGGTGGAACTAGTCTTCAAATACGCGACTAATTATTTGAAAATTTTTGGTAAAAGAACGAAGTGAATCGGATGGTTAGAAGGCGAAATAATCGAAAAAATAGAATAAGGCCCTAAGGCATCCTGCGCAGATGGTCAAAATCCAGGTTTCAGACATTCCCTTGATAGTTAGGGTTGCGCACACCCCGGAAAAAGCAGCTTTGCTGTCCCCGCCTCAAAAAAATTATGGTATAGTTAGGTACTTTTTAAAATTTTTGATATCACCCTTTTTTGGCCCTAAGGGTTGTTAGTTGGGTAACAGATAATGTCCAACTTGACTGGAAGTATTATGGGGCTATGAGCTGAAATGTTTTTAAATATATTATTATACATATGTGTAGTTAGTCGGCAGTGTAAATATCCATGCATGTTTACCTATCATTGATAAAATATAAATTTAAGTCCGAGCTTGTTGTTGTTTTCGCTAAAACGGAAACGCTTATCAGTTATAAGTAAAAATAACCGTGAAATATGATGCCCCTGTTTTGTTTATTACTTTCCCACATTAAACGTCGGCGGCGTGCTGATTTATGAATTTATTTTATTTACCACTACGGCATCCTGTATTAGAACACAATAAACTTTACTTTATGTAGGCTAGATGGCGCCACCGATAACAGAATGACGTAACACACGTGTCTCAGGCCGCTATAAGGTCATCACAGAACCTGAACCGTAAATTGAACTTTATTGCACTATGTACGCTAGATGGCGCCACCGACATACACTGACGTAACCCACGTGACCCAGGTCACTATGACGTCATCAGAACCTGAACTATAATTAAATATACGTAGCGACATCTAAACGACATAAAACAATCTCTTCCACGCAAACTCCATATTACAGGAACCTGTAATTTTGAACCCTTCCTGTCGATCAATTGCAATAATTCACCGCACTCACGACAGATGGCGCCATGACGTTTGGCAAGATGGCGCCGACGACGCATCCACCTTCGTGTCAACGACGGCGCATCCACCACGTGTCAAGAATGAAAGATTGAGGTTATGGTTTGGATTTTGATAGTCCCACCCGCTTTGACTATCTACTAACACATTTTTATCTTAGCAATGATGAAAATATTCACATATATGTCTATGACGTACCGCCTGCTCTTATCATTGTCGCAGGTTTAATTGTTTACTCTGAATGAAAATAGTTTATCAGTATTGCGGCTGGACGGCTCAAGCAGTGTAATTTCGTATGCGACGCGTTTGCCTTATTTTTGTTTTTGTTGGTGAACGTGTTAATATAATTTAGCAATATATTGATGATAGGTAATGAATATTTGAAGCAAAAATACCAGGAAAATCCTTATGAGGAAAACTTGAGACGGAATTATTTTTGTAGAGAAATATTTGTATAAATGAGTCATGGGTCTAAGTCATGTTGACACTAAAAGTCACTCGAACTAGCGGCGATTTTGATCCGAATACGAGCGAAAGCGTTGTATCAATATGATGTAAATAATTTTAAAAAAATCTCCGGGTTGTTGTCGCTGATTTCTTATTTTGAGACGAGAGACCTCAGCCTTCTGATTAATTAGACTTGTTAGGACTTGCTTATCGCAGGATGCCAACGTAATAAGCAACAGTAAAATTGAAACGATGGCCCATATTTCTAGGAAAAGTTCGCTGGAGTGTGCAGGTGGATACGAAGCTGGTGATTGGCTACAGACTAGTCAGAGCTTGTTTATCGCAGGTCACAGGAAAGTTACGAGTTATGGTTTCGCTGCGGTTGCAATAAATGTTGACGACCCGATGGCGAAACGACGTTTTTATTTTTAGTGACGTCATCATCAGACCCGAAGGCTAAACAACATTTTTATTATTAGTTACGTCACCATCAGACCCAATGGCGAAACGACGTTTTATTATTAGTCACGTCATCATCAGTACAATGCACCTTGAATGAGGTACCAAGTCACGAGCTGCTATGTGTGTTCGATGAGCCGCTTGGAGCCAGGTACGGTTAATGACCCCGAACGCAGCGGCGGCTGACCAGTTAGTGCGATCGATGAAAGACACGGGCACTGGCAAGGGGGCGGGGCTTAGCGGCAACGACTGCTGGCGGGCTGGACGGATGACCTTGAACGGTACAAAAATTGCCAGAACGGACCTTAGATTTTCTTATGGAGATTTACATGGGAAAATGACTGATTTTGCTGTAGAACTGTCATAGCCTCTTTACTCTTCTGGTTTCTTGGCTTGGCAACCTTTTTTTACGTTTCCGTGGTGGGAGCTTTTATTGTCATCCCCAGAGCGATGGCACAGTGTTGCCAATTTGCGGGTAATTACCCGATTTGCGGGTAATTTGACTGAAAGCAGGGTAATTTTCTAACATTTTTTAAACTGGGTAATTTCGGGTAATCGAGACTAGTCCCCAGTAGAAAATGGTTAAAAAAACTGACAAATAGTTATTTATGATATAAGTGTTAAAGTACATTTTTAGGGCACGCATGTGAAACTTTGCAGAATGAGCGAAGCGAATTCTGCAATTCACATAAGTGCCTTAAAAATACTTTTAACACAAATATATCATACAATATTTTTTCTACAAACGGCAATGAAAAGCAATAACCAGTAACAAATTGGATTTTCAAATGAATAATAAATTGGAAGCATCTTTCCTACATATAATCATTGAATTTGACATCTGTCAAAAAATCCAAACAACCAGCACCTTGTTTTACAGGTAATGGAATGTTTTGTCAGTTTCTTGAAAGTCTGTCGTGGTCAGTAATGCTTTTTGCTAAAAATGCAACAAAATACAGAAAAAAAAGAGGGTTGCATCGATCCCTTGAAAAATATAGATGAGGCGGCCAATCGGGCTACCTCAGTTGTTCAAATTTCACCATTAATATCAATGTAAATAACTAAACATACAAACTTTTTTTGGCGTTCGCTCTCAAAATTTGATGTTTTATTTTTAACACTAGTGCTATAAAGACTTTATGGCACTTGTGCGATAAAGTGACATTTTTAACACGTTTGTAGAAAAAAGTCTTTTTAAAATAATAATTAAAATATACATTGTTTCCTAGTTTTCTGCCACCTGCTCCGTATACTGAAAAAAATGTCCTTTGCCTTGCTTCGGCTTTGCAACTTTATAGGATGTTCATTTGTACTGCTTTTCTTGTTTCAAACAGATCTCAGCAGCAGATCAGCTTTCACTTGTTCCATATAAGCTCATAAATAGCTGCTCCTAGCAGATTTTTCGAGCAGGTAGAGCAAGTACAAATGAGCATCCTATTAGCATCATCGATTGGCATGGCACGAAGCACGAGTGTATAGTGCCTCTTTATCATTTTCCCTCCTACACCCTTGAAAAAGAAATTAAGATACAACCCCTAAACTACTATTTTTTTTGCTTAGTGCTGTTTTCATATATGCCCCCAACCAGCAGTTTTAGTCGCCGCTACGTATCTTCGACTATAAAGATAACTTTAAAGCTGGTGTTACTAGTATCGGGAACCGTTTAGGCACCGTTTCTTCACCACGTTGTTACCAAAATGGGGAATGATTTTGCAGTAACGTTTACGTACCTGCATCGTCCTCGGAACTGTAAGTTCACGTCCCGATACCGTTTCGGGAACGTTGCGAAACCATAAATGTGTAGTAATGCCAACCAAAATGGGACTTTTTTTTCCATGCGCCTTCAACCTTGAAGATATTTATTTGATCTTTCTCTCTCTTTCAACTAAAATTATGTATATTGTGTTCCCGTTCATCTAGCCAGTGTAATGACAGGATTGTCATCTAAGAATGCCAGGTCCTAAGCGAGGAGGAAAGTTAAACAAGATGTTACTTTTATGATGATCTTTATTAGTCTGCTTGCCCTAGATTATAATTGTGTCTCGATGACCAACTATGTTATTATAAACAATGTGCATAACCAAATAATATCACGTAAGTTTATACAATTAATGTTGAACTAACTAACTGTTAATCAAACATATAATATACTGGGTGATCTGATCATATCGCATCACATCTCCCCCTTTTTGAAAGAATGGACTTTATTCTTGGCCACAAAATAAAGAACATTCTCATATGAACAAAAAAAAAATTGAGTAGGAATTGATACGAAATAATCGCAAAGTACCCTTACCCGTAATTTTACTACATAATTATAAATAAATACATCACTGACGAATACAAAAAAAATATGCATACTATGGATGGATCTACTGTAAAGAAATATTTTAGTAAACAAAAACGTTAATGAACCCATTATTCAAAAATAACAATGTTTCAATATTATATTGCATAAGAGCTCAATTTTCAATTGAACTTGAACTTATATTTAATTACAACCTTCACTTAATTTCCTAACCCATAATATGTATAATAAAACAACAGATAAAAATTCTGATGTGGTGAAATGAAATGAAAATGCAAAATATTTGAAAATTCCACTTAATCAATATATTATACTGCCGTACTAAGCGCAGAAGCGGTAACTAACATAATGACTATACCTAGATATTAGTACTTTTATATTAATAGATCTGCCAACTCAGCTTGGTGACATTTTGGTTCCAAAATTTGTAAAGCAACTTTATTGAAAATTGCTAGTCTAATGACTATGGAATCACATGAAATTAAATGTATTCATTAATTAGAATGTAGATACCGCTTTTTTATGCATTTTTTCATAGTAATTTACTAAAACATTTTGACGTATCTACTAACCTCAGTAGGAAGTTAGTAGTGAAGTGCTTGCACAGCATAAAATTGAATATGAAAAATAATAGAATTTAAATAAAAAACAGTATAGTTTATAAGTACATTTACTAAACCTTTCAAAATAGTACATAGAAAATATGAAACTAACTATCGTTCTTACAAAAAAAAAGTGTTTCAAAAATTATCTTCGTCCTCGACAGGCTCACCGTTCGCTAATGGAATATTCTCCCAAAATTGAATTCTGTTACTGGGTATTATGCTTGAGGCTCCTTTGATAAGATTAACAATCCCGTTACGTCTTTCACCGGAAATGCCCCTAAACGTTGACTGCTGACTGGGATTTGGAATACCAGATTTTAAAATTTTTGCATTTAAAAAATTGAGCGGTAAAAGTTCCCCTTCATAGTCATTTTTATAATATAAAATCATTTCACCTCTTCTAGCAACAATTTGAACTATATCGTGTAAATAAACCTTTTCCTGTTTCAATTTGAACTTGGAACTAAAATCTTTCCAGTCAAAAAAGTCTGTAAGTTCCATCTCTAGGACATTTACTCTAGAAGAATTGGCATTTGAAACTGCCTTTTTGAAATCATTAAAGTCATAGATTTTTTTAAACTTTCTCATGGATTGTTCCACCTGGTGGTGGAACGAATCCGCCGACATAAAAGTATGCCCGGGCTCAAAGTAGTTTATAACAATTTCTGTAGCAACAACATTTAACGAATTTACAATATAAACTAGGAAGGTGAGGAATGCCCAGTTTTTATTTTGAGCCGTGCAGTTATCTAACCAGAGTACTATTTTGATTCTGTCTCTATGCTCCAAAAAGAATTTATAGAAAGTGCTGATTATATCCTCTTTTTTACGCCCTCTTATTGCTTCATGCCAAATTGTAGCCGTCGGTCTTAAATTTTTATTCTTTGATCCCACTGGCACAAAACTTTCATTGTAAGCAACTAATCTGCCGGTAAATATAACACTCTTGAACATCTCGCACCTGGGTAGCATTATGACTTTTTGTAAATCCACAGAAAAAATAACCTCGGCTTCTGATTCAGGTTTTCCAGCATCAATTCTGTAACTAATTCTAGCTAATTCTGCTTTTTTAATGTGAATTCTCCACTTCTCGCAGGTATCACAATCTGGAATTAAATTATTTTTGTCATGGTCATGTATATTGAAATGTTCACAATGTTCACATTCTTCATGACCTAATTTGACAAATGATATATTACGTTTACGCAAAACGGATCGGTATAAATCATAGGAACAAAAATTCGGGTTTTTTGAATTAAAGTCATCATACAAAACTTGAGCGGATAGATCACTGGGCAAGTATTTGCGAAGAGGAGCGTGTTCGCGTCGATAATGTGAAATTCTTGGCATGAAGGATTCAATGTGTTGAATAACTACCTCAAGATTTTTTTTATTTGGAGGGCTTTTTCCACGCCTTTTGTCCCTCTTAGGGATTATTATGGTTTTGTTTTTATCCATAATACTTTCTATTATTTTGTCGTTGCTTTTTTTATAACCCAATGTTGTCAAAAAAAATGTTTTGCAAATACAAATAGACTGCCCTTCTTCGTTTTTCAGATAATACTTGTTTGATGACGATCTACGGGAATCTTCTCCGACAGTTTTTCTTTTTATTCCACTAGTTACAATGCAACCCATCACAAAGTTTTTTTGGTCATGTCGGTTCATCTTCCAAAACTGTTTGTTTATGTCAATTCTTCTATCATCTGTTATATTTTGTCTACATTTTTTTCTACAAGTTTCTACACATCCTTCAAGAACTTTGTGTTTTCTTTCCATCTTCTTCAGAACCTTTTCTCTCCTTTCAGTTACTGAATATTTATACTTTTTTCTTTTTCGTAAAGCTCCCTTTTTCGTGTATTCTGTTTCAATAATTTCAATATCGCTGTCACTGTCCTCGTTCTCTACTTCTCCAGCATTTAAAGGATTATCTTCATTATCACTGTCGTAAGCATTGATATCATCATCTTCAGGTTGATAATCAGGGTCGTCATCATTATTATGGTCGCTGCTCGCGCTCTTATCATTACCAGATTCGGGTCTACCATCTTCAAGCGTCGAAACCGTTTGAAAATCTGGACAATTTTCCCCTTCATTTCTTTGATTAGGTAAGTAGTCTGCTACATTGGATGCAATTTCTGTTATGTTCTCTACCACACCATCATCAACTGTGCTGTTATCCAGGACAGTGAAAAGTTCTGTATAAACAGGCTTTTCGGAGGAATTTGCTTGATCTGCTTCAAAATAGGAATGTAATTTTTTATAGAAAAATTGTTTATATAACTTACCCAAATTCGAATTATCTGCAGCCGTAATACCGTTGTTGGAAAAAAACGTAACCGGAGTAATGTCAGTTAGACAATCCATATCAATTGTAACTGGATTTTCAAGAACATTTGCATGATACAATAATACGCCTGGAGACGTTTTATTATTAGAGGGGCCTGTAGGAACTCTTCCAGAGTTTTCTTCATCCTCAGCAATATCATCTCTAACATTATTATCAAGATTATTACATTGAAAGGCAATCTCTGCATTCTGGATAATTAGTTTTGTTCGTTTTGAACCCATTCTGTGGGAAAATGTGAGGAATAAATAACTATTTATGAAAAGAAATATCTTCATTTCAGAACTTACCCTGAATTTATCATCAATTTAATTAATAGATGAACCAGGCATAAGAAACACAAAGTATCACAACACAAAACTGTTAAATCTTTTAGAGTTATTAGGTTATTATTTGATAATTTTTTTGTGTTGTTTGTTTACTCCAGCAACGACAACTAGGAGGTTACCTCCTCCTAAGTATCGTACTTCTGAAAGTCGTCAACATACTAAGGCATGTTGGCGGTGAGTATGTGTAATCTAAGGTATTCTTGGGGTAACTACAATTTACTAAGAAGTTTTAGCGGTAACTGCTGTAGATACGCCCACAATACCTTAGTATGTGTAGTTTACCGCTAAGTCCCTTATGATAGCAATAGGTATAGCTCAGATTTGTAGATACCCCTGAAAATAAATTCATATTTTCAATTAGATACTGCCGAGATACCGCTTTAATACCTTAGTAAAAGGTACATTTTAAACACTAGTTTCGTATGATAGTCAAATATCAATTTCCCTTGAATATGTAGTTACCGCTTCTGCGCTTAGTACGGCAGTATAATATAAACATATACCTAATTATGAAATAAATCAATAATATATGTTCCCTTTTCTTTTAAAGACTAAGTTTACAATAATTGTTTATTTATTACTGACCTATGCTAAAAATTAATTAATTACTATCGGTAAAACACTCGCGAGTTAGAATTTTATAAAATTGTTTTGTTTCGAAACACGTAGTAATAATTATAAATTTCTGTGAAACGGTCGCACTCTGTTTTTATGCACTGTCACCTCTTTCCCGCTTAAATCTCTAAGTGTACAATTAACTCCATTATTACTTACAACAGTAAAGGGACCTTTATACCAAAAATCAAATTTTGTTCGGTTCTCGTTATTCAAAATAACTAGATCACCGGCTTTGAGATGCATTTGCTTCGATTGTTTATCATATTCGCGCTTTCGATTTTCTTTAGCTTTTGAAAGAAAATCGTTTGCCCGCTTGTGCGATACTTGCAAGCGATAACGAACTTCTTGATAAAAAACATCGATATTGTATACAGGGTCTACCTTAGTTCCTAAAAGCATGTCAGGTAGTTCCGCTTTTCGCGCAAAGATCAACTCAAAAGGTGTATAATTATGGTATATACTAGGAGTAGTATTGTAACAGAAGCTGTAATATGGAATCCATTCATCCCAATCGCTCCTTGAGTCGTTAATGTACATTCTAATGTATTCATTAAAAACTCTATGGTTCCTTTCGCATCCTCCAATGCTCTGGCTGTGATACGCTGTTGAGAACTTGTGCGATACATTGAGAAGTTTGAAGAGTTGTGCTAAAACCTCATTTTTGTACTCAGTGCCCATGTCAGTTCTGATTTCTTGCATTGGTCCATATGTTAGTATAAATTCGTTCATTATGGCCTTTGCTATTGTATTTGCTTCTTTATTTGGGACTGGAACTATCACAACAAACTTTGTTAATTCGCACTGTATTGTGACGGCGTAACTATTGCCTCTCTCAGTCTTTGCAAATGGTCCAATAGTATCAATGCATACTATATCGAAAGGTCTTTGAGGAGTGGGCGTTATAACCATAGGTTCCATATGAGTAGACTTCCTTTTATTCATTTGACATTTTAGACATTTTCTCACATAATTGGCTACGTCTTTGGACATGCATTTCCATCGATAACGTGCTCTTAATTTTTTCAGAAGTTTCTTCTGGCCGCAGTGACCTCCTGTGGCCGGGTCATCATGTAGTTTATGTATTAGTCTTGATTTTTCTTCATTATTTGTAATTACTTGAGGATCCTTGTATAATATAATAGTTAAATTTTTTAGATGCCTGCGTCCCATTTCTTTTAACTCATTTATTGTGCACTTTTTAAATATTTCATCATTAATTTTCAATTTTATAGCTTTAAAATTTTGATCGCCAGCCATACATTCAAGCTTAGACAGTATTTCCTCTAAAGGAAATTTGCCGTTAGTGATCAATATCTTTTTTTCAGCGCTGAATTGACTTTTTATTCCTACCATTATCCTAAGATAATTAGTCTTAATTTCAAATGTCAAAATTGGAATTTTTAGTAAATCGCAATTATCTAATATTTCATAAACTTTTGGGACAATTAATGCGGTTTCTTCTCTTTTTGGTTTATCTGTAGTAACTTGATTTTTAATCATGGACCTTGTGACGGCTAAGATATGTGCAGATTCGCTTGAAATATCCTTCAATTCCTCTATGTTAATTCTTGACAAAGCATCTGCACCTACATTATCTTTGCCTTTGATATATTCCACTTCGAAATCATATTCTTCCAGATCAAGGCGCATTCGTGTTAATTTTGATGACGGATTTTTCATGGAAAATAAATATACAAGAGGTTTGTGATCTGATTTCACCAAAAACCTATTTCCATATAAATACGGTCTAAAATAATTAATAGCCCAATGAATCGCCGCTAATTCTTTTTCTATTGTTGCTTTATTTGATTCGCCCTTTGTAAACCCTCGTAACGCGTAGGCAATAGGTAAGTCCTGGCCTTCAAAATTTTGTGATAGAACTGCCCCACAAGCCTCTTTTGACGCGTCTGTAGTTAAAATAAATTGCTTACTGAAGTCTGGGTATTGCAGTATTTGTGGATCTATAAGTGCTGTTTTCAATTTATCAAAAGAATTTTGACATTTGTTACACCACTCGAACTTAGCATTTTTTCTTGTTAAATTATTTAATGGCTTAGATATTTCCGCGAACTGAGGAATAAACCTTCGGTAATAGTTGCAAAACGAAATGAAACGTTTTACTCCATCAGCATCCGTCGGTTTAGGGTATTTCTTTATGATTTCATACTTTGCATCGTCTGGTAAAATTCCTTTATTTGTAATTTTGTGTCCTAGATATGAAACTTGTTGTTGGAAAAATGTGCATTTTTCGGGATTTAGTTTTAAACTATATTTTCTGCACACTTCGAAAACACTTTTAAGATTTTGTAAGTGGTGATTTTTGGAACACCCTATGACAATAATATCGTCCATATATAAAAATGCTTTTTCAGGTGTGATGCCCGCAAATGCAATACTCATCATTCTTTGAAAGCTGTTAGGGCTTACTTTTAGACCAAATGGCAACCTTGTGAATCTGTATGTTCCAGTATCTGTGCTAAAAGTTGTAATGTCCCGAGAATCTTCTTCGAGGGGTATTTGATGAAAGCCTGCCTTTAAATCTAGCGTTGAAAACCATTTTGCTCTGCCCAATTGGTCCAGAATATCATCTATTCTAGGCAAAGGGAATTTGTCGGCCACAAGCTTACTCTGGTTTATGGCTCTAAAATCTATACAAAGTCTCCATGCCTTTTTGCCATTGGTTGATTTTTTAGGAACAAGTAAAATAGGACTATTATATTCCGCTGACGACGGCTCAATAATACCATTTTCAAGCATTTTGTTTACTTGATCCGTTATCTCCGCTTTCTGTGCATGTGGAATTCTATAGTTCTTAACAAATATTGGATTCGGATCGGTTAATTTAAATTTTTGTTTATAAAAATTGTTTGTCGTCAGTTTATCCGAACTTAAGGCAAATATATCTGAAAATTTCGTGCAAAGAGCAATCATTTCTTCTTTAGCTATTTCCGGAATATTTTGATTTAGCTCTTGCAAAAGAGTAGCTTCTCTATCTCCTGTTTTAGTTTCTATATTATAAATGGAATAATTGCTCAAGTTTTCTGTTTCAATTGCAACATTTCTTATAGTGACACTTTCGAGTGTTGTATTTAATATTTTAACAAATGGACTGGAATGGGAAGCAATCGACGAAGCTATAAAAACTCCGGGAGCTACTTCTTTGTTCAAAATTACAAAAGCCTCTTTTGTTTTTTCCCAACTGGTAACTTTTCGTACAACCTCACATCTTGGTGGGACCATCAATGTATTTTCCTCTGGGCCGTTGTAAATTGGTAATTTTAGGTATTTGTTTCCCAATTTTAGGGTCACTGTCCAATTATCGTAATTTAATTGACACTGATACTTAGTAATGAAATCTCTGCCCAATATTCCATCTGAAGGGATAGGAAAATTTTCATCAACAATATGGAATGTATGATTTAAAGCATAGTTTTGAACAAAAAGTTGTGTTTCGGTGGTTCCTAATGAAGATGCTAATCCCTCTGTAACACCTTTAATTTTTGTTGCACTCTGTCTGTCTACCAGTTGTCCTTGATTTATCTTGCTCCTTTTACAAAGTGATATGTCCGCACCTGTGTCGGCTAAAAGTACAATTTCTTCGTTCCCAGTCATTCCACTTCCAATAACTACAAAATTCGAAAGTGACAGGTCCAAATTAAAAATATTCACGACCTCCTTGCTGGACCTAGTTGGAGGTCTTGCTGGTTTTCCGAACTGTCTTCATTGAGCATCCTTATATTCCGAGTGTTTTGCCCTCTGTGGCTTTGGGTTCCTCGACCGCCTCTATAATTTTGGTTTTGGTAGCCGCCTCTGTAGCTGCGGTTCTGGTAGCCACCACGGCTGTAATTTGCTTGGTAGTCATTTTGATTTCTGTAGTTTGAGCTTTGATGGTAATTGGAATTGGAGCAATTAGCTCTTCCTCGATAAAAGCTTCTATTTCCGCCCCTTGTGTTGTAATTTCTGGCAAATAGAACTGTTGAGCTAGCTGCATCTGCACTAATATTCACAAATTTTGATAATGCCTCTTGACAGCTGTTAAACGTACCGGCTTCCATTATAATCTTAACTTTGTCTGAGTTGCTATTTATTTTTAATGATTTTACTGTTACGTTTGTAGCGTAAGACTCAGCTACTGGCACAGGGACTCCTTCGTTGATGTAAGCCCTTTTCAAATTTTGTGCAAGAACTTCTACTTCTGAAGCATACTTTGAAGCATCCTTGTTATGCTGCCTCAAGGAAAGAAGTTTCGCCGAAACCATCTGCGAGTTTTCCACTTGAACTCCAGCTCTCAGTTTTACAATAATAATTGCCAGTGAATCACCATCGGAAATTAAATACCGTGCTTTTCCAGTAAGCC